CCTGGGGGGAGGCAGAGCTGAGCCCCCTGCCCGGCCCCGCGTCCCCCGCGCTGTCCCCAGGCCGCCAGCCCACCTGGGACTTCTCCACGGAGGCGGTGTGCTTGTCACACATGGGGCTGATCTCCATGCCCTTCTCCCGCTCCCGGTCTCCCTGGCGGAAGAACTCCACCATGATGCGATCGGTCCACTGCCGGTACAGCTCCAGAGGCTTCGTGGGGTTGCTGAGGTCGGCGCAGTGCACCATGTTCTGCAGGACCTGCAGGCATGGACGCTGCGTCCTCTGTCCCCCAGGGCCACTCACGCTGTGCCCCCAACTCGCTCCGTCCCCCCAGCTGGGTTTGGGAGGGTGGTGGCACCAAATGGGGCAGAGCCAGAACGGACACCTGCAGTGCTGGGAAGGATTCCCCAGCTGTGTCCCCACCTGGATGCGGTCGGAGTAGTTGTCCAGCAGCAGCACCCCCAGGCTGGTCACCTTCTTGGTCTCCACCATGGTCTTCAGATCCGCCAGCAGGTTCATGTGCTTGGACATGTCGGTGGCCAACACCTGGGCGGGGAGAGGTGGGAACTGATCTCAGCCTGATCCCCCAGCCCAGACCCCCCCGGGGTGGTCCAGCCCCCCCGTACCATGTCGATGACCATTTTACGGAGCGTCTGCCTCTGCTTCCTGCTCAGGTTCTGGAAGATGTCGCAGTTCTCCTCCTGCAGGAGCTTGAAGCCCACGGCCAGGTGGTGATTCTCCAGCACCGAGGCGTCGTTGTACATCAGCGCCAGCTCCGAGTCTGTGAGACGGCTCTGGTCACCCCGGGGTGACCCCTGGGGTCCCCCAGTATCCCCCAGGTCCATCCCTGCGCCCCAGCTCACTGGTGTTGATGAGGAACTGGTTGGAGACGCCGGGGTGATCAACGTCGTGGATGGCGCTGGCGAAGATGGCAGCCATGATCTCCAGGTCTGTGAAGACGGCCTAGGAACGGTGGGAAGAGGCATTGGGGACGCGTTACGGCCCCGCCAGGCACACCTGGGTGGCCTCGGGTGACCAGGAATCACCTCCAGCGCAGGTGTGGAGAGGAGGACGTGCGTGGACTGCGCCACGTCGGCGGCGTGCAGGTTGTTGTGGTAGGCCACGTCGGCGTGGTAGTGATCCTCCAGCGTCAGCATGTAGGTGATGAAGGTGTTGACGGGGATGCGGAAGGTCTTCATCAGGTCACGCTCCTGCGGGGAGGCAGGAGGTGGCTCGTCCCCACCCGGCCACGGGGACGGGGACATCCCGGCGGGACGCTCACCTGGAAGATGCTGTACATGATGACGGTCAGCGGGCGGTTCCCCGAGTACTCGGCGACTTTGAACACGTCGAGCCCCCACTTGTTGGTGTCCTCCAGCTCCTGGGGAGCAGAGGGACAGAGATCCATGGGGGGCTGGTGCTGGGGACCCCGCGGTGGGGTGGGTCACCCCTGCCAGGGCCCACCTTGGCCAGCAGCGCCTCGTGGTCCGTGCGCACCCCGAAGCGGGGGATGCCGGCGGCGGCCAGGCTGGAGCCGTGCTTCAGCTTCCTGACGCCGCTGATCTGGGACATGGGGCGCTTCCTCCGCTCCTTCTCCTTGTCCTTTGCCAGTGCCGAGGGGATCTCCACCTCGTGCTGCTTGTCTGGGGTGACACGGAGGGGCTGTGAGCAGGGCAGGAGCCCAAATCTCACTGCCAGCATCCCCCCGTGTCACACTGAGGACGGGCACAGGTCACACCGTGACAATCTGGGGGGCTGCAGCACTTTACCTCACCCCCATCCACAGGCCACACGTCTGCCAGGGACCCCTGGACACTTCTCCAGGCACACAAGGACGGCCACAACAGCCCCAGTGCACCAGTATAGACCAGTATGAGCCAGCACACCCAGCCAGTTCAAACGCTGTGTCCCCCCATTCCATTCCTCCACAAGAACCCAGTGGGACCCTCTGCTGCCACCATCCCCGTGGGCACAGCTCTCTGGGGACACAAAGCCCACCCTGCTGCCCCTGGGGAGGTGACCTCGGAGCGGGGGGGCCTCACCCAGGAAGGTGCTGGAGATGTACTCGGAGACCTGGTTCCCGGAGCGGCTGGTCTCCGAGAGGTGCGTCAGCTCCCGGTTCAGCATCCGCTTGAACTGTGGGTGGTTGGCAGGGTCAGCGGTGTGGGGGGCTGGCGGGACATCCTGGGGGGGCTCTGGGGTCCCCACGCCCACCAGGGTGGCCGTGACAGCGTCCCTTACCTTGTTGGAGGCCATCTCGCTGACCGAGTGCCTAGTCTGCAGCGTCTCCAGCTGGTCCAAGCACCAATCCAGCTCCTCCAGGGTCTCCCGTGAGAGCTTCTGGTGGGCATCTTCTGCTGGGGGCACCCGCCAGCTTGGCAAGGGACCCGCCAGCAGCGCGGCCACCCGGCACGGGGGGGCTGCAGCCACACCACACGCGGGGGCTCACCCGCCCCGAGGGTCACAGCACCCCCCGAGAGGGGC